TTCTAATACCGAAGGATACTCAAAGTAACACAAACCATAATCCATGGTTCCCTTTAAATACTTGAACACTCTCTTCATTGCTTGCCAATGTTGAGTACTAGGATTACTAGTAAACCGGCTCAACCTACCCACGGCATAAGCAATATCCGGCCGAGTGCTTGTCATGGCATACATTAAACTACCAATAGCTTGAGAGTACTCAAGTTGTGATACTGCCTTTCCTTTATTAGGCATCAACTTCACACTAGGATCCATGGGAGTACCAACGGGTGAACAATCACTATAATTAAACCTTTTGAGAATATTCTCAACATAGTGAGCTTGTGTCAAAGCAATCCCTTTGTTTACCCGTTTAATCCTTATACCAAGAATCACATCCGCCTCCCTCATGTCCTTCATGGAAAACCTTGATGATAACAACCTTTTGGTTTCATCAACCTGATTTTGGTCCGTTCCAAAAATCAGCATGTCATCAACATAGAGACATATGATCACACCCGCTCCGAATGCATCAAATCGGCTATAGACACACTTGTCCGATTGGTTTAAACTAAAACCATTGGACAAAATAACTTCATCAAACTTTTGATGCCATTGTTTGGGTGCTTGTTTCAGCCCATACAATGATTTAACAAGTTTACAAACCTTATGCTCATTTGGTCAGTTCCATCCACTTTCATCTTCTTTTTGAAGATCCATTTGCAACCTAAGGGTTTAGAACCCGGTGGCAAATCCGACAACACCCAAGTGTTGTTCTCCATAATTGATGACATTTCATCATCAATTGCCTCCTTCCAAAAGGCAACATCTCGGGATTCCATTGCCTCTTTAAAGGTCTTTGGATCATCCTCAACTTGGTAACAATATGAATATTGTACCCCCGTTTCATCCCTTGAACCTTCCACTAAATACAAGTGAAAATCGGGACCAAAGTCTTTCACGATGCGGCCTCGTTTGCTTTTCCTTATTTGTGGTGCTTCGGGATTCAAAACACCATCCAAACATTCTGGAACTTGCACCTCACTAGTGCCTGGAACTAGGTCCTTTGGTCTTTGAATTGATGAAAATCTCATCTCATCAAAGATCACATCCCGAGACTCAATCACGGTGTTAACCGCTACCGCATCATTAGGTTCTATTACATAAAACCTATAAGCCTTGGAATGTTCAGCATACCCTATGAATATGCAATCAATTCCCCTTTCCCCCAAAGTTTTCCTTTTGGGCTCGGGCAATTTTACAATCGCCCTACAACCCCAAACCCGAAAATATTTCAAATTCGGCGCTTTCTTGTACCAAAGCTCATATGGGGTTGTCTTGTTCCTTTTATTTGGAACCCTATTTAGAACATAGCAGGCCGTGAGCATGGCCTCTCCCCAAAACCCTTCACTCAAACCCGAGTAGGAAAGCATGGAATTAACCATTTCCTTTAACACTCGATTTTTCCGTTCGGCCACACCATTTTGTTGTGGTGTATACGGAGCCGTGGTCTCATGAATGATTCCAACAGATTGAAAATAATGGGGATCCATATATTCTCCTCCCCGATCAGTCTTAAGACATTTAATTGGATTACCCAATTGCAATTCAACCTCGGTTTTATACACTTTAAATTTCTCTAAAGCTTCATCCTTGGTGTGTAATAAATACACATAACAAAACCGAGTCGAATCATCAATAAAAGTAACAACATACTTTTTATTGCCAAAGGAAGGAGTTGAGTGAAAGTCACATAGATCACTATGTACAAGATCCAAAATAGCCGAATTCCTTTCAACATTAGGAAACGGTTGTTTTGTGATCTTAGTAAGCATGCAAGTCCTACACTTATCATCATTAATATCAAAAGCAGGAATTAAACCATCTTTAGACATTTCATGCATTTTCCTAAAATTAATGTGAGCTAATCTAGCATGCCAAATCATACAATCATTCATGGAAGATGCCACAAAAACAGAATTATCACTAGAAATTAATTTATTCACAACATTTAAACGAAACATGCGATTTGATAAATATCCAAAACCAACAAACACACCACCCTTGGACAGAATATATTTATCGGATTCAATCACTTGTTTGAACCCTAAATTATTCAACATACTTCCCGAAACAAGATTCTTTCAAACCTTCGGTACATACAAAACATCAAACAACGTAATTGTTTTCCCAGAAGTAAATTCTAAAACAACTACACCCTTTCCCAAGATAGGCACCATTGACTCGTCTCCCATGCGTAATAAGGAACCGACCTCCACTGGTTCTAGGTCTTCAAACCATCCTTTATCCTTACACACATGGCTCGTAGCCCCCGAGTCAATCCACCATGCACAGTCATCATCCTGTACATAAAAAGATTCTGGAATGAGTGATACATAATTCTGGACAGAATTATCAAAGTTAGTCAGGAACTGACCTCCTTTCCGTGGAACCAGGTCCTTAGACCGTTCCTGTCCACTGTCACTCGTTCCAGCGCCATTCTTGTTCAGTTTCACACGGCAATCACGCTTGACATGTCCAACCTTTTGACACCTCCAACAAACCAAACCTTTCGGTTTCTTGTTGGGTTTGTCATGGTCTTCATACTTGCGCTTTTTGCCTTTCCCCTTATCTTTCAGGTTAGATTTATTATCCTCAACCAAGTGAACATGAGTCATTCTAGATTCAACTTCACCCATAATTTGGTCATTCTCTTGCACACGAAGATTCTCCTCAATGCGCAAGTGACTCCCAAGTTGAACCAAGGACAGTTCCTCATCTTGATGTTTTAAAGAACGTTTAAAATCCTTCCAAGAGGGTGGAAGTTTGTCAATTATACTCGACACGGCATAGGACTCATCAACACCTATCTTGTGGAGTTTAAATTGACCAAGAACACGAAGGAGTTCATTGTATTGTTCCATAACTGGCCTTGAGTCAACCAGTTTATAATTATTAAAATCACTCACCAAGAACTTCTTACTAGAAGCATCCTCGGCGATGTATTTTGACTCAAGAGAATTCCACAATTCCTTAGCACTCTCAACGTTTTGGTAAATATCAAATAACGCATCAGACATACCGTTAAGGATGTGGCCTCTACATATGTAGTCATCGTTCTCCCACTTGTTGCGCCTCCTAGTTTGTTCCAAGGTTTCGTCCTCCATCACTTCCGGCATTGGAGTGCTCAACACGTACACAACCTTCAACGTGGTGAGAAGAAAGTGCATCTTCTTCTGCCATCTACGGAAATCGTTCCCTTGAAACTTGTCCAATTTGTTGAACTTGGATGTCATCTCTTCCACGGTACTCATGATTATCACAAAAGGAATATCAATTCGATTGTTGGGGTAAATCACGTAGGGGGTGATAATTCGAGTACTTGGATATCTTAAGGATCGTGTAAGTTCACTTTCCGAATTGATATTTCTCCCCTATGCCTGGGTTACAAGAAATTCAATCTAGGATAATCCTTAAGGACACTCTAGAACTTAGGCACAAGAACTAGAGCCAAACTAGTGAGTATATGGATTGCTATCTTTAATTTGAGTGCCAAAGTGATGAAGATATGTTGGATATGATTCCTCCCTCTCCTCTGTACGAAATATGGTGGTATATATCCATATTCATCGTCCTAGGCAGTAGTAACACGATTAAGAATAACCGCAGCAGTTTTTGGGAAACTGCTGGAAACTGCCTAACCGTTCTAGAACTCGGTCTAGAACCACAGAGCTGGTCTACTGAAAGTTATACCTCGAGTTCTACCTCAAGTTCCACTAACGTAGACACTTTGGAACTAAACTAGTTCTTATATACAAGTGTGCACTCCACACCTACTAACTTGTATTAGATCATAGTTCTAATTCCCATTGGCACTCATGTCATTTCCAATTACACAAAATGGCCGGTGACACTAAAATCACCAACAATGACATGGTAAACAAAATGGAGCATGTGAAAGCCATATTCCCAAAACACATCACCAACAACTTGCAACTCATTCTTAAACAAATGATAAACAAAATGCAACATTATATTTTTGGCAGTAGTGTATTTGAACCATTAATGCTCATCAAACCAGCTTGAAACAAATCTACGTCTTTTGCCGCCAATTACCTTAAAGGGGAAATCATGATCCCGAAGGTGAAACGACCCTTTTTGAATCTAACTGCTGTGTACCACGTCTTGAACATTAGGATGAAAATCAAGATTTTTTTTTTTCTCAATCTAGGATCAACTTCTAAAGATTCAAAATCAACATGTTGTTTATGTAAATTATAAGCCAAATTAGTTTCACTTTCATCAATTACTTGATCTAATTCTTTTTGTATTAATGACGAATCATTTGAATTAACATCTTAACTACTCCCGATCCTCCAAATTTCTTTAAATGTGGGTACACTATTAAAATATCTTTTCACCCTAAATCGTAAAATATTGAAAAAATATTCATAAATTACACAAATTTAATAATGATAACATTTTATAAATAGCACTAAAACATGGATAAAATTCATAAATATGAAAATCAATGTCTTATTCCCAAAATAGGACTCATTCACTCCTAATTTGGGAAAATATAGTCAAGTTTTTCTTTTAAAAGGACTAAATAAATCTCATTTGAAAATTAAACATATTTCGTCCTTTTTTTGAACTTTGTATATGTCTTAGTTGTAGTCTATTTAATAATTTAATCTTAACATTCAAATAAATTTTAATAATTAATCCCAAAATGAATTATGCAAAGGTTAAAATTCAATAAAAGCAAAAAATTAACAAAGAACTAAGCAGTGGATTGATTGGAAATTCAAATTCAATACGGATGGTTTAAAGTATAAATTTAAATAAATTAATATGCAAAAAGATTAAATTTAAATGAATTATGCAAAAAGACAAAAAGGGAGTTTTAAAGTATAAATTTAAATAAATTAATATGCAAAAAGATTAAATTTAAATGAATTATGCAAAAAGACAAAAAGGGAGGAGCCTTGCAGGGAATCAAACCCTACACCCCCGCGATGATTTTGCCTCTAACATTCACCCGTTTCGCTGCTCAAGTCAATCACTTCCAAAGGCGCTATGCTTATAAATATACAAGTACTAATTAATTTTACATAAAATATTAATAATATATATGTATTGTTTTGCACGGGGTCCGGGACCCGTGGGACCCTTAGTGGGTCTGCCATTGCTAGCTACCTCGTTTAATTGAAAATGTTTCATAAACTTGTGAAGCAAGCACTTTTGTTCCAATTGAAAATGACATTTCTAGTTTTTGTGTAACATAGATCATGTTTCAACATTCAACAACCGCACAAGCGGGGAACGAGTTTGATAGTAGAGCCGCTCCGAATGTTGTAGTCCTCAAGTGTGCGACCCTCCTGGAGAAGCTTTCCGGCGAAGATAAGCCGCTGGTGTTCAACCGGGATGCCTTCCAGCTCCTGAATCTGTTCCTGCACATCACGAATGGTGTGGAACGGTTCTACATCCAGTTCAGTCGTCTTCCCGGTCAAAGAAAGCCCAACGATCTTCATCATCGTCTGCTGCTGTTGGGAATGCTTAGCAAGAATAATACATCCGTAGCTTTTAAATGTAGTAATTTGCTTAGGAAGAACAAAGAAAAAAACGTAGCTTCTTTTGGTGCTCAAAGCATTAATACACTTTGACACACATTTTCACTATTTATAAACAAGCAAACATATCCGATCCTATGCATGCATAATACACTACGCACTAACCCACTATGCAGAATACATGCATGCGTAACTAACCATCCCACTACGCACTACACACACTACATGATATGCATGCGTAACTAATTAAGTAATTTATCACCACATGCAACTTAGACTAACACTAATGTAACGGTACATACGCACATCAGTACCGCTACAACACATGCACGGTGTCACGCGACGCACACTACTTGGCATGACTCATCCCGCCGTGCACTAACACTCAAGTCTAAAATGCATCAATGACTCAAAATAAACTAAATTAAACATGACGAAATTATAAACAACAAGGTTAACTCCAACATTCACCCCCTTAACCTTGTTGTCATTTATTTAGAACTTCTCGCGGACCATCACAACAGTGCCGGCTCGTCGTCGGCGATCGCGGCGGCGAGATATGCCCGCTCCTTCCTTGGTGCCGTGCAATCCTTGGAGAAATGCCCATACTCTTGACAGTTGTAGCATCGAACCTTACGGATGTCGAATGTACTCTTCTTCTTGCCGGTGCCACCGCGGTAGCGAGAACGCCACTCCTCCTCTGTGAGTAGCAATTGACCTCCACCGCCATGGTCATTGTTGTCGACGTCGTCGTCCGCATCGCTCCTATCCTCCACCGTTTTGAGTCTTCCCACAAGCTCCTCCATGGACATGGTTTTGAGATCAAGAAGCTGTTCAATTGCAATAGCTACCTGGGTGTACTTGGACGGCACGATCCGAAGAAGTTTCTTCACGACCTTCACCTCCTTGAAGGTCTCACCGAGGGTGCGAATCTTGTTGGTGAGTCCGTTCATGCGCATGGCGAGGTCGTCGATCGTCTCACCGCTCCGCATGCGAACGGAATCAAATTCCTTGAGTAGAGTTTGTGCTTTGGCCTCACGGACACGCTCATCGCCCACACGCATGGTCTTGATGGCGTCCCATGCCTCCTTTGCCGTCGCCTTCACGGCAAGCGTGGAGAGCATCTCCGGTGGCACGGCTCGCAAAATTGCCGCTAGCGCCACCCTATCCTCGCTAAAGCTCCCGCCACCCTCGACAGCGTCCCACACGCCTTGGGCCTCCATGTTCACCTTCATGATGAGCGCCCACTCGAAATAGTTCGTCGCCGTCAACGTCGGGTAGACAACGGTGCTGCTGGCCTGGTGGACGACACGCTGCTGTACCACCACCTCGCGGCCGCCTCGCCGCGTCAGACTCCGCCCACGTCGTACCGGCGAGCGTGACGGAGTGCGCGAACCTTCACCGACCATGGCTCTGATACCAAATGTTGGGAATGCTTAGCAAGAATAATACATCCGTAGCTTTTAAATGTAGTAATTTGCTTAGGAAGAACAAAGAAAAAAACGTAGCTTCTTTTGGTGCTCAAAGCATTAATACACTTTGACACACATTTTCACTATTTATAAACAAGCAAACATATCCGATCCTATGCATGCATAATACACTACGCACTAACCCACTATGCAGAATACATGCATGCGTAACTAACCATCCCACTACGCACTACACACACTACATGATATGCATGCGTAACTAATTAAGTAATTTATCACCACATGCAACTTAGACTAACACTAATGTAACGGTACATACGCACATCAGTACCGCTACAACACCTGCACGGTGTCACGCGACGCACACTACTTGGCATGACTCATCCCGCCGTGCACTAACACTCAAGTCTAAAATGCATCAATGACTCAAAATAAACTAAATTAAACATGACGAAATTATAAACAACAAGGTTAACTCCAACAGCTGCCACTTTCTATTTTGAGTCTTTTCCTTCGCAATGACATACACATGAAGAGGCTGCGAAGGCAACATCTCCAACACAAACCACCGCCACGATCGGTCGTCGGTGAGTGGGACAGAAACAAACACCACTTTGTCTCCGGCGAACGTTGTCGGGTACCTCCCATACAGAGCCAGGCTCGTGTTGTCTTTGTTAGTGGCCATTGCAGCGTGCACTTTCGCCACGAGCTCAGCGTGAGAGCTGATTTGCCTGATAAAGCACGTGGCTTTTGGGGGCTCTGAATAGTCAACGGAACCGAGGTAGCCGGTCTTCAAAATCTCACCACCCCAATACAACAATGCAATAACCTCATCACCATTACCTGCAAGTATATATCCGCTCATTCATTCATTCATTAATAATGGAATAAGTGCAAATTAAAACAGAGTTCAACAGAACCGCGGTGCTTAATGGATTTCCATGCCTGCAATCTCTTTTGTTTTGTATTTCAACTCCAGTTTATGTTGCAATTCAAGTAGATCGATCTGTAAAGACGAGAGAGATAGCTAGAGCTCCTTGAAATTCCTACCTTCTCACAATACTACACTGCCGGATATATATTGCCCAAAATTTTCTCCCAAATTTGAACTAAGCACCCCATTTTCTAAATAATTAGTGGTTACAACCGAAGTAAAAAAAATCCGTTAAAATGGGTACAAACTCCAAAGTCCAAATTCATTTGTAGTGCCAACAATTTTAAAGTTAAATCGCTCATTTTGGTAGTTAATGAAATTTTAATAATTAAAATTTGCATATTAAAAAACTACATTAAAATTTCTTCAAAATTGCAAACTCCAAATTATAAAACGGAGTATAATTAAAAATAGTCATTTCAATTAAGTGAATAAAATGAAATTGTTTGACAAATAACCACTTTTGCAAATCAATTTGAAACTTATAAGAAGTATGATTTTCTAAGTTGTTAAACCTACAAGATTAATTAATAATGAACACCCAAACAGAGGTTGTAACATATTTGGATCGGAGTTACAACATCCACATGCTGGATGAGTATGAAAATACGAGATAACCTATCGCATTCTCCTATAGGCAGGCTACGCAGTGATCTAGATCCGCATAATTTTATTTCTGACATCAATGGAAAATTTCTCCTAGGGAGTATAAAGAGGTGAAATTAATTATTCCTCGATCTCTGAATTCTCATTTATCAGCCGTGATCAAATGAATTGTCGTCTTGAACCGTTGATTAACCGTTCAGACCTTACAAAAAAGTGAAAACGAAATATTTGTTGCTGTGCCAAAAGCTATTTGTGTTTTTGTTTAGAGGGTTTAATGCACCAAATCGTAATGAAATATAAATTTGACTCATTGGTACCTTATAATTTAAAAAATGCGTTAAACTCCCTGTGTTATAATTATTCATGGGCTAAACTCCCTCCAAGAACAAAATAACATTGTTGAATATGCGAGTAACTTTATCAAAATTTCTAAATCATACCAAAAAACTAATCATTTCTCAATTTTTTGGCAATTATTATTCATAAAAGGGGTTTTGCTCATGAATAACCATAATACATGAGAGTTCGACGCATTTTTAAAATGAAGAGGACTAATGCTTCGAATTTATTTTTCACGAGAGAATTTGATGCATTAAATCCTTGTTTAAAATGCGACATTCTACTCCTATGTGAATGAGTGAACATTTACACCAATTTGAAATTTCAAGATGAAGTTTGATTACAAATTTTCATTATGCGGATTATTTTGTACAACGTACTTCACACGTATTATGAACTTAGTCAACACCACAATGTTTCAGTCATTGTTTATTGAACATATCAAAATATTTTACCTTAAAAGCATATCAAAGGATGATCAACTACTCGCACGGGTAGCTCAATGGTTGATGAATGAGACTGATGGGTTGAAGTCTCTTGTTCAATCTTCGACAGCAGAAGTATGAGTGTTCCATCCACATGGTGGTTCTTTACGCGTATCAGGTCCCAATATTTTTACATCATATCATGGTTGTCCTCTCTACAATTGTGTCGGGTAAGAGTGTGGGGAAGCTCGGGGTGGGCGATTCAACCTTTCAGGGTTGGGCTCACTACTTGTGCTGGGTTGAGATTATTAAACTTTAATCTTTATAGATATATATGGAATATTAATTATATTAGGCCGCAGGCCCGTAGCCCGCATGTAATAATAGTTCATGATTAAGTTATAAGAATATGAACAAAGCAAATACGTAGTATATATATTCTTCATATGTCCTATATAAATTAAAAATAATAACAAATATATGAATAAAATAAAGGTATCAGACATAAATATGACTTCTTGTAACACAAGATTTAACACATAAATAATTATAACACTGGAGTTGACGGCGTAAGTGAATGCGTCAAATTTATTGTCAAAAAATATCCACTTGACGCACATTCTAAATCACAAGAAGTGAATGTGTCGAATTGGGAAAAATAATTAAAATACCCCAAACTTTAGAGGGATGTGACATCAACACCCCAATCTTGTTTGTGTAATTTAAATACCCCAAAATTTATATAAAAAAACTATTTTAGCACCATGGTCATGCATAGGCGTGGACCCGGTTCGGGCCGCCCGGCCCGGGACCGGCCCGGCCCGCCACTGTGCGGGCCCGGAACCGGCCCGGTTCTCGGGTCCGGGTCCGGTTCGGGCACAGACCCGGTCGGGTAAGCGGGACCGGGCTCGGGTCCTGATTTTGGAGGCCCGGCCCGGCCTGGCCGGGTCGGGCCCGGGCCTAATGGTCCAAATTTAAATTTTTTTTTTTTTTTTTGCTTCTTTTGGTGGCTCAACGGTCACCCAAACGGCTATATAGCCGTTGGGTGGTACCTGGGGGGGGGGGGGGTCAGGGGGCTTTGGGTGGGGGGTGGGGTGGGGGTTGGGGTTAAAAAAAAAACCTATAAATACTCCTAATTTTAAACATTTTTTCACACCTCTTCTCCAACTCTACCTAAATCCTACTCTCTACTCATCTCCAATTCTCCATATTCATCTTCTCAAATTCTCTTATTCTCCTTTATATTTTATTTTACTATTTAATACTTATACAATTATTATATCTACTTATATATATTAATTATCTACTTATATATTATTATCTACATATACTATATTACTTATATTTCTTATCTACTTAATCTCTACTTATATCTCTTAATACATACATACATACTATATCTACTTAATATATACTTTATATAATAAAGTATTAAATATACTTTATAAACTATTACTATATACTTAATACATAATAATATCTACTTCTCTACTTATATTTTATATATACTTATTTTCCAATCTCCAATTCTCCATTATACTCTAATATTTAATTCTTATACAATTATTATATCCACTTAATACATACATTCTACATCTAGCTACTTAATATATATTTTATATATTAAAGTATAAAATATAAGTGTATTACTCATCTTATAGTAGTTTACTTATATATTATATAATATAAACATTATATTATATATTACTTACTATAACTAGTATTATACTAGTTAATTAGTTAATTAGCATTCTTGTTACATTTTTCATTATACTAGTTAATTAGTTCATTACCATTATTGTAACATTTTTCATTATACTGGTTAATTAGTTAATTAGCATTCTTGTTACATTTTTCATTATACTAATTAAAATACTTCACATTTTATTTAACTAGTTGTTAGTTTGTTACATTTGTCACTATACTAGTTAACTACTTAATTGGCATTGTTGTTACATTTTTTATTGTACTAGTTATTTACTTCAAAAGTTGCTATAATTTTAATTGTAGAGACACACATTAATTCTACTTTGCACAAAATTAGTTTGAAGTATTAATTAAAATAGTTTTAATTAGTTGCATTAGTTTTGTATCCATTATTATATTTGTTGTGAATTAATATTTGTTACATTTTTTAGATGGAAGGTGGTAGATATTCGGTTGATTTGGGTAACCTCCAACGCAATCGAAGAAACGAGATTGGTAGGAAGAAATCCCGCAAAGGTAAAGAACTTGCCGGGTCTTCATCTCAAAGCCGAGATGATTTTGAAACGGGTTACCAAAGGCGAGATGGAGATGCGATGTCCGAAGAACAACTCCAACAAGAATTGGCCCGACATAATAACCGCTTTCTACAACAACAACAAATGCCGACGACCAATGACGAAGAGGAGCTTGAGGATGAAGATGCGGAGGAATTGGAACCGGAGACGGCCGAGGAGGAGGGTGCCGGCAGCCACGACGCCGACGCGCCTGCCTCATCCCAAACCGCCACCGGTAATAAAAAAAGTAAGTCTGAACTAATGAAAAATAATTTTGATAAATGGAAGGACCCACAAACCGGCTATTGGCACGCAACTTGCAAGTGGTGCAACAACAATTATAGTTTGGGAACCTCCGGAGGATACGGATCCGCCGCAAGGCATCTTAAGGCAAAGCACCCCGTGGAGTATGCAAAATTAGGCGGAGGAACGGGGAAGCAAACTCAAATATCGAGGTTTGCGAATTCTCAACCTTTTGGTAATTTCTCCTACAATGATGCACAAAATTTGACTGGTAT